GCTTAAAAGGGTGGGGGAGTATGAATGTGATTGCATTAGTGAACAGTCTAGTTGGAAGCTACAAAATTGGACCTCTTGTTCCCCAGGCAGGGGAGATAGCACCCCCTCCCCCCAAAAAAAGGACAGTACGCGGGCCAGCTATGTCTCTGTTTTTCACCTGGCTGTGTACTCCTCTGGTCTTCTCCATCATGTCCCAGGATATCTCACCCTGGAAGACCACTTCAGGCCTGGAGCTCACATCATGTTAACAGTCTCTGGCTCAAAGTGCTCCTCCCAGAATCTTCACTGAGGAGGGCCACTCAGTGGCCATCTCTTCATTTTCCACTGGCCGCACTCTTTAGACTTCTTCATCCTATGCCCTATACCCTCTCCCCTCCCCTTCCCCCTCTGCAGCTTCTTTTTGTGTCTCCCCCATTAGAACATAAGCTCCGTGAGGGCAGGGTCTGCCTTCTGCCTTTCTTTGTATCCTCTGTGCCTAGTACAGTGCCTGGCACACAATAATCACTTAATAAATGTTAATTAACTAGCATGCACTCTTGGTCCCATTCCATCCTTTCTCCTCCAACAGATCGCCCCCTGTCACCCCCACCCCCTCAGTCACCCTGGGTCTCTCCCTGTCCACTGGCTCTTTCCCTACTGCCTATAATCCTGCCTATGTCTCCTCAGGCCCAAAAAATATCCTCCTATCCAGGAGATACAACCCAATTTCAAGATTTCTTTCCCAGTTGGATGCTTTGATAAGATCAGGTTTAGCCAAAAAGTATCCTGGCTGCACTGTGAGGGGAAAGCTATTGACAGAGACCCTCAGGGAAGAGATGACTATGGAGGGAGCCCAGCAGTACTTTCCCTGGGATCCAGGATAAAGGATGGGAAATCCCTGTACTCAGAATCAAAGACCATTTGGAGCCCTCAGTAAATGAATCCTCTAGGGCCTGATTGTAGTAATAGCAAGTTTTAGCAAAGAGCTTTGAAGCCAGCTTGTTCAATTTTGTTCAGAATGCTGCATGCAGCCCTTACATAGCATTGCCTTCATAGCATTTCAACCTAGTGTAGGTGTTTCACATTATTCCTAAGATTTAAGAATGCTCTGACCACCCCCTCCTCCTGGAAAGTAGGAATCTAACTTTGACTCCCCTTCCCCATCCCAGCTCTGACAGGTGAGCCTTTCACTTTATCTAGCCAGGATCCAGGCCACCATGACACTTTCCACAGTCTACTTGCCACATCCCTCCCCCACACACTACCCCAACAATGTTTTTTAGCATCTCCTTCCTATCCATTAGAATGTAAGCTACTTGAGGGCAGAGGTTATCTCATTTGCATTTATACTATTCCCACATTTCAGGACAGTGCCTGACAAGTAGTATTTAATAAAAACTCCATCACCTATCTACCTACCTACCTATGTATGTATGTATGTATCTATTTATCTACCTACCAATTTGTCATCAATGCAATGACCGACCCTAACTCCATAGAACTAAATAATGGGGCACACTGCCACCAGTGGAGACAGGTTAGATTCAGATACAGGAGACACGCCTTTTGGGATATGGCCGGTGTACGGGTTTGTTTTGCTTGACTTACTCAGTATTTAAGTTTTGTTTTTCTTTTTTCAGTTTGGGGGAGGTTGATTGGGAGGAAGGGGGATTGGTTGAGTGTTGCCCTCGACCCCCTGCTCTGGAGGATGGAGATCTTCACCAAACCTCCCCTGAAGGACAGCACGCAGGCCAGCTATGTCTCTGTTTTTCACCTGGCTGTGTACTCCTCTGGTCTTCTCCATCATGTCCCAGGAAATCTCACCCTGGAAGACCACTTCAGGCCTGGAGCTCACATCATGTCAGTAGTCTCTGGTTCAAAGTGCTCCTCCCAGAATCTTCACTGAGGAGGGCCACCTCTTCATTTCCCACTGGCCACACTTCTTCATCCTATGCCCTCTCCCCTCCCCCTCTGCAGCTTCTTTTTGTGTCTCCCCCATTAGAACATAAGCTCCGTGAGGGCAGGGTCTGCCTTCTGCCTTTCTTTGTATCCTCTGTGCCTAGTACAGTGCCTGGCACACAATAATCACTTAATAAATGTTAATTAACTAGCATGCACCCTTGGTCCCATTCCATCCTTTCTCCTCCAACAGATTGCCCCGTCACCCCCACCCCCTCAGTCACCCTGGGTCTCTCCCTGTCCACTGGCTCTTTCCCTACTGCCTATAATCCTGCCTATGTCTCCTCAGGCCCAAAAAATATCCTCACGTGATCCTTCCAGCCCCATTATTGATCCGTGTCTATCCCCAACAGCATCCTCCCTGCTTGATGTGCCCGGCCCCTTCTGCTACGCCATCTTAGGCCCCGCTCCAGGACTAGCAAACTTATTTTTACTTCGGGTCTCTTCCTTTATTGCTTCCTCCACCTTCCACCATTCACTGAGGCTGAATGACTCGTCGTTGCCCATCCTCGCCACCACCCCACCCACCCATCCCGTTGGTCCTGCGGCTTCATTCGCTATGCCTCACTCCCCGCTGACACATTAGACTGTCCTTTTACTACCATCACTCGACCTCTCCTCTCTTGGCATTTATTCTATCCACGATTATCATTCAGTCCATATCCTGGGAATTTTCTCAAGGTCAGTACTTGAATCAATCACCTCTTGACCGCAACACCTGCTTTCGTAATGGGGGACTTCCCTCAAACACCCCAATTCCCCAGTCCCTTGGTCTTCTCAAATACAAGGACCCACCCTCCTCCACTCCATCTCAGCCCTACACAGGCACACCATGGTCTGATGCTGCTATCATACATAAGTGTTGTACTTCCACGTTCAGGAACCGACTTTCCTTTATAATATCTGCCATTGCTCCATCTCTCTCTCTACCTTACTATCTCAATCCTGTTTTTTGTCCTTACAGTGACTTCTTATCCTTCCTACCCCTCAGGCTCTGGCAACACTCTCCTCCCTTCCAAATCTCAACCTGCCTGTGAGTCGGATGAGGTTACATGATCCACTGCTCTTCAACCCCACTGTCTGTGTCCTGTGGCTGAATTACCTATCAATAACAACCACAGATTACTCCCAACATCCACTTCCTCTGGTCATACACACATGCAGCTGAACAGAGCTTAAGGATGTCATGAAACATGGTGATCAAGCTCACTGCTAAATTGTTATCTAACTTTAACTGGGCTCTCACTGCAGCAAGGCAGTCTTTCTAGGACTCTCTAATCTACTCTCCATTCTACTCATGACAGTGGCTATTCCAGACTTTCTCCACTCAAATCTCCCATGGCAGCCCAAGTCCCACCCTCTCAGCTGAGGACCTCATCTTACCCTTTTAAAGAGTCATTCACCAAATGATTCTTATCACATTTCTCTGATATTCTCTCCCACTATCTCCTTTGTTCTGGCCTTGGATGAAGAGGAGGCCACTCTCTTTGCCAAGACAAATTCCTCTGTGGGCACCCCTGAGTCCTTCCCTTCCCATTTTTTCCTAGACTGACCTATCACTCCCTCAACTTTTCCCTATCTACTGGCTTTCCCTGCAGCTTATAAACATCCCAAAGTCTCTCAGCCTTAAAAAACCCTCACCAGATCCTGCCATCGCTACCATCCTAGATTAGCTCCTTCCTTTTGAGGATAAAGTCCTTGATAAGCTGTCTCCTTTGTGTAACTAACTCCTCTATCCTTACTCTGTCTACACTATATCTATTCTTACTCCCCTTTAGACCTCCTGCAATATAGCTTCATCATTTAAATGAAACTGGTCTTTCCAAAGTTACCATTGATCTCTTACTTGTCAAATCTTAAGGCCATTTGAGTGCTCAACCCTTCAGACTTCTGTGTAGTACTTGGCATTTGTGAAATACCTCAATGAAATCTGCCTCTCTCTGGGTTTTCATGACACTGTCTCCACTGCTTATCCTACTGACTGGTCCTTCTCAGTTTCCTTTGTTGTACTGTCCCCCATTTCAAGCCTATAACTGTGGGTTTAGCCCTAGGTAAGGGTCTGAGGGTCTTCTATGCCCTCTTACTTGACGACCTCATCAGTTCCTCTGGGTTTGGTTATCATCTCTATGCAAACAAATCTCAGATTCTTATCACCAGACCTCATTTGTCTTAAATTCCAGGATGACACGCACTAACCACTGGTCTGACACTTCACACTGGACTTATTCTATACATCCCAAACCTCCCTATTACTATTGGGGGCACCATTTCTTTCAGGCATGAAGATTCAAACCTACATGTCATTTTTACTCCACATATTCGATGAGTCACCAAATCCTGTCTTTCCTGTCCCCATGTCATCTCTCATACACTTCCTTCTCTCCACTCAGAAGGAGCGCACACCAAGTTCAGGCACTCCTAACCTCCCACCCAGACTATTGCAATTGCTTCACGACTGCTATCTCTGCCTAAAGTCCCTTCCTAGCCCAATCCATCCTCCAAACTGTTACCAAAATGATTTTCTTAATGCACAATTTTGACCATGGCACCCCATCTGCCTCCCATACCCTGCTCATTATACTCTGATGGATCCTTATCACATCTAGGAGATCTACTTCTCTGGAATGTAAAGCTCCTCACAACCTGACTTCTTCCAGCTTCTTACCCATTACTACCTTTTATGTATTCTATAGTCCAGGCATACTGGCCTGATTGCTGTTCCTCACACAAAACTCCACCTCCCATTTGCACGTCATGCAATTGTCCCACGTGCCAATAATGCCCATCTCCCACACTGCCCCTTTATTTCAGAATCTGTGCCTCCCTTCAAGACTTAGCTCAAAATGCTACCTCGTCCAAGAAGCCTTCACCACTCCCCATTCAGCCCTTTCTCTTTCCTTCTCACCGTCCCCCCACCCCAGTTGCTTTCTAAAGTTACCTTCCATCTACTTTCTATCAAATATACAGCTATTTATCTATGTATAGTCTCCCCCAATAAAATGTATGCTCCTTGAAGGGAGGGTCTTTATACTTTTTTTTTGTATCTCTAGTACTAGCACAGTATCTGGCATATTGTAAATTCTTAATAAATGCTTGCTGATTGAGTACATTCATATAGTTGCTCTCCAGTGTGAATTCCCTAAAGAGGATTAAGGGTTCTGCTTCAGCTGAAAGTCTTAACATTCATAAGGATCTTCTGGGACATGAATTCTAATACAGACCAGGAGAGGGCAGTTCTGGCAGAACCTCCCAGTCATTTCATTCATAAGGAATCCCATTATGAATTCTCTGGTGCACACTAAATTGTGAGCTAGGGAATGTCTTCTCCTAGCTATGAGATTTATATGGTTTCACTCCAGCATGAACTGACTGAGGTCTAGTAAACTTTGTGCTCTGGAGGATGTTCCAACCTTCTTTCCACTGATAAGGTCGTTCCCCACTATGAGTTCTCTGATCTTCAGTAAAGTAAGACCTGTTACGGAGGTATTTTTCACAATCATTACATTTTTATGTCGTCTTCCCAGTATGAATTTTCTGATGGAGAGTAAGGTTTCTGTTTGAGCTAAAGGTCTTTCCACAGTCATTACATTCATATGGTTTCTCACCAGTATGAATTCTCTGGTGGAAAGTAAGATTTCTACGCCGATTGAAAGACTTCCCACATTCATTACATTTATATGGTTTTTCTCCAGTATGAATTCTCTGATGTTGAGTAAGGTATGAGCTCTTTCGAAAGGCCTTCCCACATTCATTACATTCATATGGTTTCTCTCCAGTATGAATTCTCTGATGTACATTACGTTGTGAGCCCAGGCGAAATGCCTTCCCACACTCATTACATTCATATGGTTTCTCTCCAGTATGAATTCTCTGATGTAGAATAAGGTGTGAGCTCTGGCGGAAGACATTTCCACATTCCTTACATTCATAAGGTTTTTCTCCAGTATGAATTCTTTGATGTTGAGAGAGGTCTGAGCTCTGGCGGAAAGCTTTCCCACATTCATTGCATTCAAAAGGCCTCTCTCCAGTGTGTATTCTCCAGTGGAGAGTAAGGTTTTTGCTCCGCCTGAAGGCCCTCCCACATTCACTACACTTATAAGGCTTCTCTCCAGTGTGAATTCTCTGATGTAGAGTAAGGTCTGAGCTCTCACGGAAGGCCTTTCCACATTCATTACATTCAAAAGGTTTCTCTCCAGTATGAATTCTTATATGTATATTAAGTTTTGCTTTCTGGCGGAAGACTTTCCCACATTCATTACATTTATAACGTTTTTCCCCAGGGTGAGTTCTCTGATGTACACTAAGTTGTGAGTTCAGGAAAAATGCTTTACTACACTGTTTACATTTGCAAGGTATCTCTCCAGCATGAACTAACTGATGTTCGGCATGATTTGTGCTTGGCAACAGGATCTTTTCGTACTCATTAACTTCAAAAGGCTGCCCTCCAGTCTGAACTGACTGATGCTCAATAAGCCCTGAGCTCTGGCTGAAGGCCTTCCCACATTCATTAGATTCATAAGGTTCCCATCCAGTATGGATTCTTTGAAGTGGTGTAAGCTGTGAGCGCAGGAACAAGGTGCTACATTCATTAAGTTCGTGAGGTTTCCCTGCAGAACGTATCACACAATTCTCAGTAAGGTCTGAATTGTAACTAAAGGAATCCTGAAATTCATTATACTTAGCAAAGACTTGTTTAACACAGATTTGGTTGTAATTCCTGATGTCTGAATACAGGCTAAAGCTCTTCTGATCCATATCACACTGATGTAGACTGCTTCCTATACTTATACTCTGTTGTGGAAAAATGATTGGCCCTAGACTGAAGTTTTTGCCATATTTATTACATTCACGCCTTTGTACTTGATGGGGAAGTTTGTTTTGGATGCATTTTGTCTGCTGAGGAGATTTCTCCTCATTGATCTGATGCCTTTCTGACTCGGCATCCAAACCCAAGGCCTTTCTCAATTTGAAGGCAGCAACGTCATCCCTGCTGAGTCTTTCCTGGAAGGAATTTTTCCTGGAGAGGTCCAGCTTTGGAGAGGAAGCCATGCTTTCAGGTCTGGCCTCCCAATCTGAAACAAACAAACACACAGATTTCCTGTTCTTTATGCCTTTTTAATCTTTAAAAAAATTATTATTAACAACTTGACACCCATCAATACAAATGAGTATTTCCATACGTACATGAGAACCAAGAAAACGGCAAAAAAAGATTGTGAACGTCTATTATGTGCACCCTCCAGCTTCTTCAAGGAGGGACTGGGGTCAGGGACTGTGCCCATTATTGCAGCGGCAGAAGGAGCCCCAGGGGAGGAAACGTCTCCTAATTCAGGCTGATCCCAGAGCGCTGCCTGCGGCGCTGAGAAGTGAAGAACTCAGCCAGGGTCACACGGCCAACACAGGTCAGGGGCTGGAGAGAAGCCACCTTGTTGGCTGGGAGGCCGGCCCTCTAGCTGCTATCCTACCATGTCGAGCTTGTCTGTGGCTGCTTCTGGACTGCCCTTTGCTCACCTGTACTGTTACATTTTTCACTGATGTTCACTTCTAGTTTTTACCATCACTTTCATTATCCCTCTACGCTTCACACAGCTTTCAACTCTAATTAAAAACAAAACAAAACTCTGCTTTGTAACAAATATCTGCAGTTATGAGAAACAAATCCAACATTCACCATGACCGAAAGTGCATGTGTCATGTATCATGCCTGCCAAGAGACAGGAGCAGGACGTGTGGAGCTTGCCGGTAGGAAGGCACCTTGGCAGCTTCCAGTCCAGTCCACACACCAAAGGGCCCCTCCCACAAGAGACCTGAGAAGAGGTCATCCAGACCTCCCCAGAGGAATCTAACACCTTTCAGGGGCGCTGATTCCACTTCTGGACAGCTCTAATTGTAAGGAAATTTTTCCTGACATCAGGCCTAAATTTGCACACCCACAGCTCCTGGTTCTACCCTCTTGAACCAAACAGAATAAGCCTAATAACTATTTCAAAGGCAGCTATTATGTCCCCCTGGGTGTTCTTTCATTCAGGCTAAACATCCTAGTTTCTTTGACAGATTCTCCGGTCACAGATTTAAGGCCCCTCACCATTCTACTTGCTATCCTTTGGACACTTCAGCTCAAGCAACATAATTCCTGAATCGCGCCACTCAAAACTGACCACAAAAGCTGGATGAATTCTGAGGAGGGAAGACTACAGTGAATCTATAGCACTTGGCACAGTGCCTGGCATATTAGCAGACACTTAATAAATGCTTGCTGACTTGGCTTAATTATCACCTCCCTGTTCTTAGAAGCTATACCCTTCTTAATGTACCCCACTGGTAACTTAGCTTTTCGGTTGCCACATGACATTCTTAGACCTGAAGCCCATTCAAATGCTTCCCATTCTGAAATCTCTTTCAGAATGGCTGCTGCTGTCTACACAGGCCTCCTCCTCCAATCTGAAGTAGATATTCTGTATCCAAGCACAAGACTTTCCAATATTTCTCTTCAATTCTATCTTATTAGATTCCACCCAATGCTTGAGGCCAGGGGCAGGGAACCTGCAGCCTCAAGGTCACATGTAGCCCTCTTGGTCCTTAAGTGCAGCCCTTTGAATCTAAACTTCACAGAACAAATCCCCTTAATAAAAGGATCTGTTCTGTAAAACTTGAACTCAAGTCAAAAGGCCGCACCCGAGGACCTAGAAGCCCACATGTGGCCTTAAGGCCGAAGGTTCGCCATCCTGCTCTAGCCCATCAAGACCTTTTGGGACCCTGACTCTGTCATGCATCGTATTAGCCCTCCCTTCCAGCTCCCTGATGCCACCTGCAAACCTGATGAGTCTCCCATAGATGCGCCAGACACACATGTCTGGGGAACGAAGAGAGGGCAATGTCACAAAAACCCAGAGAGGAGACAGGGTGATCACCAGGGTCAGATACAGTTGAGAGGCCAAACAGTAAGAGAATTGAAAAAGGGCCATGTCTGTTACACAGTTTCCACTGACTGTCAAAGTTCCAAGAAGACAAAGCAAAGACAGCTAACAGAGGAAGAACACAGAGCCATGGGCACACTGCCAAGTGCAACAATGCTGAGAATGAGTGAAGCTAGGTGAGGAAATGCAAAGACAAGGAACTTGTGGGTTTTGTCAAGTTTTAATTACATGAGAAAGAGAGAAGGCTCGAAGGACAGTAAGATCATTGTTTCAGGGATACAGGATGAACACACTGGCAACTAAGAGGAGAAAGAGTTACTCAGTGGCTGCTGTATTAATGGGCTGGGAAGGACAGAAAAAATATGGCTAACATAGAGTTAATACATAACATAAATAAAAGGATGGTAAGAGATCATTAAGCTACTTTTGATAAATTCAAGTCTCCTGGCCCAGGTAAAGTAAAAAAAGAATTAAGGCTTATGATGTACCAGGACTGTACTAACCACTCGGGATACAAGAAGAGGCAAAAACCAGCCCCAGCTCTTGAGAAGCTTACAGTCTACTTGGGAAGACAACATACAAACAATGCACAAACAAGCTACAACCAGAATAAATTAGAGGTAATCAAGAGAGAAGGCACTAGAGTTATGAGGGACTGGGAAAGCTTCCTTGTAGAAGGTGAATTCCAGCTGGGCCTTGGAGGAAGCCAGAAGTCAGTAACAGGAGATGAGGAGGCAGAGAGTTCCAAGCATGGTAGGCAGCCAGAGCGAATGCCTGGAATTGGAGAAGGATGGGAGGAGGCTGGTAGTATGTGTTGGGTTATAAGGTGTAGAAAAGGTAGGAGGGGACAAGGTTATGAAGAGCTTTGAATGCCAAACAAAGGATTCCTTATTTGATCCTGGAGGTGATAGGAAGCCACTGCTGTTAGAAAGGCGAGAAGTGGGGTGACATGATCTGACCTGGGCTTTGGGAAAATCACTTTAGTGGCTGAAAGGAGAATGGATTGGAGTGGAAAGAAACTTAAGGCAGACCCACTAGCAGCTATTGTAACAGTCCAGGTATGAGGTGATGAAGGCCTGCACCAGGGTGGGGACAACATGAGAGGAGAGGAGAGAAAATGTTGTAGAGATGCTGCAGAGGTGAAATGGACCAGAGATGCTGCAGAGGTGAAATGGACCAGAGGTGCTGCAGAGGTGAAATGGACCAGAGATGCTGCAGAGGTGAAACAGACCAGAGGTGCAGTAGAGATGAAATGAATCAGAGACGCTGCAGAGGTGAAACGGACCACAGACGCTGCAGAAGTGAAATGGACATGAGATGCAGCAGAGGTGAAACGGACCAGAGATGCAGCAGAGGTGAAACGGACCAGAGATGCTGCAGAGGTGAAACGGACCAGAGATGGTGCAGAGAGGAAATAGACCAGAGACAATTCTTCAGAGAAAGGATTAAAGGAGAAGAGAAGAGAGTCTGATACTAGGCATATAAAGGAAGGGGAGAAAGGAAAGGCAAAGGGAATGGGCTAAGTATATTGGTTCAGCAAAGTAAGAGGCCAGTTTCTGTAGCAGGGTCCTGGGTCTTCCTTGAACTGCTGGCCAGATCAAGGTTGAGTGCTCTCTGGCCTCTGCAAGTGAGAACCACGGCCCAAGAGGCAGGTTCCAGGCTGGCCCAGGGAGGATGCCTGCTCCTAAAAGACAACTGGATGTTTTGCTCCATGTTACTGTGGAATTTTTTTGCTTTTTGTTTCCTGCCAGCTGGAAACTGCTTGAGTCTGAAAGCTCTCAGACTGGCAGGAAAAACAGCCAGCCGAGCCCTTGCCAACCAAATGACTAAATGATCTCTGGGAGACTCCAGGCAAACAGTGACAGAGGTGCTTTGTTCCCCACAAGTGCACAGGACCTTGATATTCAAGAGAACATACACACCAAGGAGAGAGAGGGGTCAAATGAATGAGAGAAGG